AGAGTGCTCTTTGATTGTGTGTGAACTACAACTCCCAACACCCAGAGTTAATTCTTTCCAAACTCTTCCAGTATTTTCTGTTGGTCATGATGGGTATGTCCCCCTCGATGGACTGTCACCTTGTCGTGGTGAGGGGGCTTGCGCGTTCCAATGAACCTGTAGGCACAACAACTGGAGTCATGCACTCCCAGGAGTGGCCGCGGGGGAGGTTCCAGACCTAGCACAGTCCGAAGACCCAAAGACCTCAACGGCGGAGCAGGCGGAGGATAACATGGCACATGTTACAACGGCTGCGAAGGCGGAAGAAGGCTGCAACAGACTGAGAAGCCACGGTCATTGTGTTAAACTACATCACCAGTGGAACCTCACTCTGTGAAGTCTGTGTGTTGATCAGTTGTGCACTGACCTCCACACATTAAAAAAACCCATGCACAGGCGTCTTCCAAAGAAAATAAAAACCAAGCAACCAAAGTCCCATGGCGATCAGCGAGTGGCGACGGGGGCAGGACTGTGAAATCTGGAAGCCCCTAGTCACAGACTGGCACATGGGCGGTGGGTACGGACTCAGTCGTTCTACCTCAAGGTCCGAGGCAGTTGAGTAGTTCGGCAGCTGTATCCGCGACTGAGCAGCCCTTTTGAGGACCCACTCTGCTCACCCCACATGGGGAGGGGGCTAGAAAAGGTGCCCTAAACATAGTCTGCCTCACTTATCCCTGACTGGACTGCCGCGTCCAGTGGGGTCACCACCCTGCGGCCAAAAAAGAAAATGAACTTCGGTACATGGAACGTATGGACTCTGATGGACAACAGTGGCAGTGAACGCCCCGAACGCAGAACTGCCATCATTGCAAGGGAGCTGGGATGCTTCAACATCGACATAGCAGCCCTTCAGGAGACCCGGAGAGCAGGAGAGGGACAGCTGAAGGAAGAAAAAGGAGGCTACACCTTCTTCTGGAAGGGATTGCCCGAAAAAGACCAAAGAATGCACGGAGTTGGCTTGCCATCAGGAATGATCTGGTGAAACATCTGTCCGAAGCACCCACTGGCATCAACGAACGACTCTCAACCCTCCGAATCGATCTTGCCAAAAACCAACGGGCAACCATCATAAGTGCCTATGCACCAACACTAGATGCTGACGAAGACATCAAGGAGAAATTCTACTGTCAGCTGGACAACGTCCTATCGGGGATACCTAAGGAGGACAAAATCATCCTCCTGGGGGACTTCAATGCAAGAGTTGGGCGAGACTTCGACCTGTGGCCAGGAACCATCGGAAAAGACGGGGTTGGAAACAGCAACTCAAATGGCATCCTGTATAAGGCGTCCTCAATTGGCCGTCTGGACAGGGGGTCAAAGAATCCCACCACAGTCACCAAATTATAATGATATAATTTCTTGATGGCCAAACAATATCACTGGACAGGGGCAAGCAGATCCCAAGACTGTCCCTCCTTCAATAAGGAATTCACACCACTTTGGCTCTTGTAGCGTTTGAGGGAATGTTTCTTTCTTTAAAACCTTCGCTGCCACCATAAACTGAAGAATAACAAACCCTCTAGCTATTCAGACTGCTAAAAGGCTGTTTAAATTATTAAAAGGCTTTTTTACTCCACCAAATACTGTGTGATATCAAGGGCTTTCTTTGAGGGGAAACAGGAGAGGTTGATTCAACAAGGAAAAGGACTCAAAACCAAAAATGGCACTTGACTCAGGCTTAAATTTTAAAAATAACAAGAAAGAGTTTATTGATTACAAGTTACAGAATAAAAGTGAATGCAGGTTCAGAGGCTTGGCTGTTACAATAAAAGTGTTCTTGGTTCTTATAAGCGTAATGGTTACTTGAGAGAATGGTTCTATTCTTTGTTACAATTCCTTAACACAAAACCCAGCTATTTTCTTCTCTAGAAATAGCTGTAACCCAGTCTGCCACAGCCTACTTTGCTGTGCAAACTACAGGCAAGCTGCCTATTCCTAACAGAGACTCCTAAAACTCCAAATCCTACTCTAACCTCACTCAGAACTGAACTGCTCTGAACTAAAAACTGAACTGAACTGTCTAAATAAGCTGCTCTCTTTCCCTCCAACTGGCTAACTCCGCCCCTTTTCCAAACCAATCCTGGCTGTTGCTGGGCTGGCTCAGGCCTAGGCCACTCCCCCTCTCTGAACTGGAGCTTTTCCCTAAACTAAGATGGCTCCAGCAGCTCTCTGCCAGGCCTTCTAAGCTGAAACTACCTAGCCTGTCTCTTCCTGGGCCCTGCCACCCTGGCTGGCAAGGTAAGGGATCTTCACATCCTGCTTCTCACCAAATGTGCGAAACACAACCTTGTCATCACCAACACGCTCTTCCGCCAGAAAAACAAGTTCAAGACATCATGGAAGCACCCCCGGTCAAAGCATTGGCACCTCTTAGACTATGTAATCACACGCGCCAGAGACCGCCGTGATGTGCTCCTCACAAGAGCCATGACAGGTGCTGACGACTGCTGGACTGACCACAGGCTAATTCGATCCTCGATGGCTATCAAGATCGCTCCCAAGCGCAGACTCCAAGGAAGGAAGACAAGGCGCAAAATGAACACCCAAGCCCTTCAGGAGCCCTCCAGACGAGCCCATCTCCAAACAGCACTCAAGGACCATCTACCCACAGTACACCCCGAAAATGTCGAGGAACATTGGAACAAACTGAAGACCTCCATCATCCAAGCCTGCGAAGAAACTATTGGATACCAAGCCAAGAAACATCAAGACTGGTTTGATGAAAATGACATCGAGATCCAACAGCTAATTGACAAGAAAAGGAAAGCCTTCCAAGCATGGCAGAGAGACATCAACTGTGCTGCTAAGAAAAAGATCTATGCCAGTACAAAAGCTGAGGTCCAAAGAAGGACAAGAGAACTCAAGAACATCTGGTGGACAAAGAAGGCTGAAGAAATCCAACACCTGGCAGATACCCATGATGCTCAGGGATTCTTCAAAGCCACAAAGGTCATCTATGGGCCAAGAAACCATGGGATACAGCCTCTACGCTCATCAGATGGAACCAAACTCCTGAAGGACCAAAACTCAATTGCACTACGTTGGAAAGAACACTACCAAAGCCTCCTGAACCGCAGCTCCAATGTGGCCAAAGAGGTCCTCTCACAAATCCCGCAACAACAAACCAGGGATGAGCTTGCAGCACTGCCTAGTTTGGAAGAAGTCAGCAATGCCATCAGCCCACAGAAGAATAACAAAGCCAGTGGACCAGATGGGATCCCTGCTGAAATCTTTAAAGAGGGAGGACCTGAGCTGACACACCAACTCCACCAGCTCATAGAAAAAGTGTGGGTGACCGAGAAAATCCCAGCAGATTTCAAGGACGCCACCATCATCACCCTCTTCAAAAAAGGGGAAAGAACAGACTGCGGAAACTATCGAGGTATCTCCCTTCTAACCTCCGCTGGGAAAATCCTCGCAAGAATCCTTGCAAACCTCCTTCTGCCCCTCTCAGAAGACACCCTCCCAGAATCCCAGAACGGCTTCCGCCCCTCCAGAGGAACCGTGGACATGATCTTCACTGCAAGACAGCTCCAAGAAAAATGCAGAGAACAAAACCAACCTCTGTACATGGCATTCATCGACCTTGCAAAGGCATTCGACACAGTGAATCGCAGCGCTCTCTGGACCATCCTCCACAAAAATCGGGTGCCCAAACAAATTTGTGAACATCCTGCGGCTCCTCCACGATGACATGATGGCAACAGTCTTGGATAGCAATGGCTCCCAAAGTGACCCATTTAAGGTGGAATCGGGTGTCAAACAGGGATGTGTTATTGCCCCAACTCTATTCTCCATCTTCATCGCTATGATACTTCACCTTGTTGATGGGAAGCTTCCCACCGGAGTGGAAATCATCTATCGGACAGATGGCAAGCTATTCAACCTCAGCAGACTGAAAGCCAAAACCAAGGTTACAACAACATCTGTTATAGAACTCCAGTATGCTGATGACAATGTCGTCTGTGCGCATTCAGAAGAAGATCTACAAGCCACTCTAAACACCTTCGCAGAAGCATACGAGAAGCTCGGCCTGTCATTGAACATTGAAAAAACCAAGGTGCTTTTCCAGCAGTCACAAGCCAACCCCTCTCCAATGCCAGAAATACAGCTTAATGGTGTCATTAGAAAATGTGGACCATTTCCGCTCCCTTGCCAGCCCCCTCTCCACAAAAGTCAACATTGACACTGAAATACAACACCGCCTGAACTCTGCGAGTGCAGCATTTTTCCGAATGAAACAGAGAGTGTTTGGGGACTGGGACATCCGTAGGGATACCAAGGTGCTTGTTTAAAGCTATTGTCCTCCCAACCCTGCTATATGCCTGTGAGACATGGACAGTCTACAGACGTCACATGCAGCTCCTGGAACGATTCCATCAGTGCTGCCTCCGGAAACCTCCGGAAAATCCTGCAAATCTCCTGGGAAGACAAGCGGACAAACGTCAGTGTGCTGGAAGAAGCAAAGACCACCAGCATTGAAGCGATGGTCCTCCAACATCAACTCCGCTGGGCCGGCCACGTTGTCCGGATGCCTGACCACTGTCTCCCAAAGCAGTTGCTCTACTCCGAACTTAAGAACGGAAAACGGAACGTTGGTGGACAGGAAAAGAGATTTAAAGATGGGCTCAAAGCCAACCTTAAAAACTCTGGCATAGACACTGAGAACTGGGAAGCCCTGGCCCTTGAGCGCTCCAGCTGGAGGACAGCTGTGACCAGCAGTGCTGCAGAATTTGAGGAGGCACGAGTGGAGGGTGAAAGAGAGAAACGTGCCAAGAGGAAGGCGCGTCAAGCCAACCCCGACCGGGACCGCCTTCCACCTGGAAACCAATGCCCTCACTGCGGAAGAAGATGCAGAGCAAGAATAGGGCTCCACAGCCACATACGGACCCACAAGGAAATCCATAATGGAAGACCATCTTACTCGTCCAACGAGGGATCGCCTAAGTAAGTAAAAGATGGGTATGTGTGCCACGTTTGATCCAGATCCATCTTTGGTTGAGTTCACAGTGCTCTTTGATTGTGGGTGAATTACAACTATTCCCTATCATGTTTTAGGAGATGAATCTGATGTTCTGAAACAAGACATTACATTACGGCCAAAAAGAATCCCAATTCATAAAATAAACAGGTTAAAATTTAAGAGAAGATATTAAGTTGCAAATTTAATATTTCCAAAAGTACCTTTTAGCAGTACTCAGACCACTGTAAATAAAAATATCCCCTTTCAGTTTACATACCAAAGGCATTTACTACTGTACAACATCTAGGCATTTGACAAGCCAATCGTAACTGTCTTTAAACGCTTCCACAGGTTTCTGAAAACCTGATCCATGACCATGACTGATTCCTTCTGTTTCATTAACTTCTTCCTCAATCCATCTCTTCAGTGCCTAGAGAAATAGGAAGACTGTTTAAAAGACTTGTTTCAAATGAGTCTGAATTCTTTAAAAATACATGGCATAATAAACCAAGTAGCTTGACATGAAGCCATGAATCTATATCAACAATATCTTATTTTTTTGCATGCATAGGCTGTACTTTGGTAACACAATTACCCACGTTACCATCAGACTAATACTGGCAGGAGGATGGAGAATAGGGTATGCTCCTCGTGTGTAATTTCAAACATCTTATGTCAATCTTATGCTCGACCAGCAGCACTCATGCTACCAGGCCTCAGTTCCAAATGTATTAAATGGATGTGGGACAAAATGAAACATTTCTCCATCCTAAACCACAAAGTAAAATGTTGCAGAACAACCCCGCTATACCTTGTATCTTTCCATAATGTTAAATCCAAGGGCAACTTGCAGTTTGCGCAGACAAATAGGGCAAAGATCTAGTGGCCGTCGGTCTGATTCCTCCAGGTGATTGGAGCCTTGCATAACACACTCCAACCACTGGCAGTGATGGAGCCCAAAAATGTGGCCAATCTCATGAGTCAGAGTCTGAAACACAGATATGGTCAAACCAGTAAATACATGGGGATTGCACTCCACCTAAGGCCCTGACTATCTTAGTGGCACTATACTGCCATCTTTTTTTAAGCAGAGATACAGTGGGGCCTCAAGCTAATAGCATCCGAACTTAAGAGCATTTTCAGTTAAGATCTGTCACTCAGCCCAGGTTTCACTTTGACATGTGAGCAACATTTTGAGTTAGGAGTTAGCAACCAGGGGAACGCAAGAATACAGGGCTTTAGGGCTTCAAGCGAACCATTTCGTGCCTCCATGCCTCATGTTATTGTCTGCTTTGGGAGACTGCTGTCCTCTTGTCCACGTTCAGGAACTTTGGGTTAGTTTCTATATCAGATATAGGCTGGATATACACTGCCAAAGAATGCAGTTTCAGTTGCATTATACTGTTAGAAAAGATACATATAATACACTTTGAACTGCATTATATGGGTCTACACTGAAAGAAGTAACTTAGAAAATATATTTCAGCTCCAATATTTATGAAAAATCTAATGGGAGTGGAACGTGGTTAAAAAAACAGGCTGTAGCTAAGTGGCATGCAAGCACTGGTTGTTCTTCATCCTTATATACTCACATTACTCTCTGGTTGACTATTATTTTGAGACGTTTCAAGCATTACATGTTTTTCTCCTTTCTTCAATATGAAGTATAACTGGATACACACAAAAGTACTTTACAGTAAAAATGATTTTGGAATTTTAAAATGTAATCGTCGTAATCGAAATGCACTCACTTTGCAGGATCTTAAAAGCAGTTTACTTGTGATCTCGGGCGTATAGTAACCATCAAATACAGAATAGTCTGCTGGATGAAGCTTCTTTGGTGTCTTCAGTATGCCTTTGTAGTTTGCGCTATAGAAGTCACTATCATACCTGGCAAAGCTAAAGATACCCATTCCTTAACAAAACAAAAATATAAAATAGAATTTTGCCAAGAGAAATTCCTATATTAACAGATCAGCAGCACAGGGGAGTAAACACACTATGACCCACATATCAGCAGGAGATATATTCCTGAATTTACTGTGGACAGCCGCAAACCCTATTTAAATGAACAACTTCCAGTTTCTGCCAGAAGTTACCATAAAGTCATCCTGTTGGATTTCAAGGAAGCTTCTGGCAGAAACATACCATAGAACCACATAGAAGATTTAGAATAATTCTAGGGATGACATTTCTGGCTGTGCTGAACATAAACAGGTGAATTTATTATTGAGAGAGTCCTTTTAGATTGTGAGGTTTCCTCTTTGTACTGGTAACAAAGTGAGTATAAGGGAATGACACTTTGCTAGCCTGTTGCTTGACACTAGTACAACTGAAAATAATCCAGATTGGACAAATGTGGACAAGGACTGGAAAAGTCCCGGCCCCTTGAAGCCAACTGCAGCCTCACAGCAATCTTCTCTAAAACATTTCACTTCACTGTGGGAAATTAAAGTATATAATATAACCCCAGCACAACACTATCTGGAGCAGAGATATAACCAGGATGACATTGTAGGAGTCACAGCACCAACATAAAGGCTTGTGATACCAATTTCTTTTTCATAGTTAGTCTCAATGGAGCTACAAGATCCCTTTGCACACTGATATTCCTGACTAACATCACTATCTCTTTGAATAAGATATATAGTGAATCTGGAAACCCATGGGGAATGGATAGGGTTATCTATCATTGCAGGGTGAAGAGTCAGGATCCGTAGAAATGTACCAACTCCAGTTCCAAATAAAACAACTTATAATATTAAATGCATAGCTTAGTGCATATTTACTTTTACAGAAATTTAAGAAAGTTTTCTCATTTGGAAATTTTAATTGAATAAATACATGTATTTTATCTGTTTAAGTAACCTGATGATGGTAATGATGAAGTGGCTATTACAATAAATTTATTATTTTTATTAATGTTTCATTTATGAAGTCAGACTGTAGAAAATTAAGTCATAGTCAAAGGTTTGTTATATCAAGTCACAGACTTGCATATCAAATGCAGGGCCAACCTTATGTCCAACCTGCTACTAACTGGTTAATGGACAGCAATTTTTTACATTTTATTTTTACCATTTAATCTTATTTGTGCGCTAAGAAGCACAGTGCAGCAATAAGACAATTCTGTGACTTGATTTCTAAAAGCTACTCATAGCTGAACTTCTAATCAAATGCTTCAGACTAAAGCAATGAATGATCCAATCTTGTGTATAGATTTTTTTTAATCTTTAGGTGAGCCAGATTGCCTCACTGCAAATCGCAGTTTCCAGATTTACTATAAGACTCTTCACATGTATCACTGCTGTCCCCTTGTGGTCAATAAATATAAAGCAGACCTCATAATAAATATCACTGCATCAGCCACCTAGGCAAATATTAAACTGAATAAGCAGAATGCATCAGATAGATTCATGCCAAAACTACCCAGCAGATTTCTGTAGAAAATCTGTCTTCTGTTTGAAATACATTGACATCTTTGGGTTGCAGGAGAAAAGCTCAGTATATTAAGAATATCTATCTGTGCAGAAATTCCAACCAACCTGCAAGAGCTGGTCATATCATAAATGCATTCCTATTTGCTCTCTTTGACACAGCTCCATCATATCTTGTCCACCAGCAGTTGGGATTGAGCCCCGGAACTGATGGAAGGACAAAGTGGCTATAGGGTCACAAGGGCTAGCAACCTGAATGACACTGCCACAAAATTTAATTGCTAAAATACCATAGTCAAAATATTATCTGAATTTAAGCTATCTGGACAGAAATGGAACTAAATAGCACTGGATCATATATTTTGACAAGTGGTAGATTTGCATGAAGCCCAAAGGAGTGGATCGATGACAAATTGGATAAAATAATAAAGGAAAAGAATATGTACAACAAAGACAAAGAGCCAAAACATAGTTCTAAGACTTGTTTATATTTTATATATGAAAGGGCAAAGGGAACATCCATGTAACTGGCACAAAATTGTACCTGCACCAAGGTTTCTGGAATCCTATGGAAGTAAAAGATCAGTGGATGCCACCTTATTGTGTGAAAGATGCCCTTCCCAACATGTGTTGACTATAAGTCTAGTGCTGTTCCAGACTGCTATGGCAGCTTGCCTGAACCACTTTTGGAAAATCTGGTACCAATTCTATGTATATATTAATATACATTTAATTACAATATATATTAATAAACATCTATGTATATATTAATATACGTTTGACTGAGTTATCGATGCAACATGATATGTGAAATAAACCACTTAGATGTTGCATTACATTTCAGAGCTTTATTTTGTGCTTCCTTTGCTCATAATGCATTGAAAATAAGGAACGATGCAATATACTTCCAGCTCTGACAGGTGGCAAAGCACTTGCTCATATTCAATTTCCCCCCACAAAATGTGTATATAAACACAAGTTGGCATAACTGGAAGCATAGTTTATCACTTTGTAAAATCTATTGCCCAGCACAGATCTCTACAAGATTCCAAAATGTTTCTCAAGTTTGCATATATTTTCTCAGGCTTTTGCTGTTTTTCCCTCGCTCTCTTTGAGCTTCCAATTCCCAAAATAAAATCAGCTATAAAAGGTGAAAAATACCATAGGAGTTATGTATCTCCAGTAATAGATGGGAATCCAATTAATCAGAAAAGTGAAACATAGTGACTCCAAGGTTATAGAATATGTGTGCTGCAATTTCTGATCAGAAGGCAATAATTACTTCCATATATGGACCAACAAGAAATGTTAAAGAAATGGGTTATAACAAACAAGATTAGCACACTCCAGGTAAAAGCACCAACTTCAAGCTAGTACTCATATGCTATAATCCAACCATAGTATAATATGTGGATTAATGAAAGGAGACATTTCAGTGTATGCATAGAAATGCAATGGAAAACATAATGGAAAAGAAAATTCCTTATAAGAATTCTCAAGGCATCCTTTTTCAGAAAACCTATTATGCAGACCAGGAGACCTATCCAAGGCTGAACATACGAATTACTGGTCATTTTCCATTTTCTCCTCTGCACATCCCCTCCTACATCCATTCAAGTCTACTTCAGTGGACTGCCTAACTGTCTGCAGGAGATAAGGATAGTATTGTGAGGAACCAAGACTCACACAATTGAACCCAACCCCTGGTTCTTACAAAGAATGGCAGTGTGTATAACAGGGCAATGGTTTCACAACAGTTTTCACACCCACATAGTACTGAAAGGACTATGAAGTAGAAACATGTAATATAAAAAGGAGTCACGTTCCTTCCAACAGGGAAAACAATGGACATATTTATCAACTGTATTCACTATCATTTCAGTTCCATACATTTGGCAGGTTGTCTATTCTTTCTTTAATGCGCATGAATATACGCATAAAAATGCTTTAAAAAAATGTTTTGTCATAATCATCCTTTGTAAGATAATTACCTGAACATCAAGACTACAAAATGGGGAAAAGTAAGTAAAGCAAATGTACTAGTCAATTGCTCTTATGCATAGTTAGCTTCTGCTGCACTCAGCCCTAATGATGTTTCCAGACAAAAGCAGTAGAACTACCACCACTATAGATCACCTTGATGACTTAACAAAATAGTTTTATATATATACCTTCAGTCAGGGAGGCTTGTCCAAAGACAAAATTCCAGGAATCCTTTGGATAAAGATCTATCATGGTTACTCCCACAATGCAGAAAGCATCCTTTGCCTTTTTTTTCTTTAGATAATTCAGAAGATGTCCTGTATTTAAAGAAACACATACCTACAGTTCAATTACAGAAGGGCAAGAAATTATACACAAAGGCAACCATATACAATCATTATACAGAACCTGCAGCATGGGTGTTCACTAGGAGAAGCCATGGTTCAGTGGTAGAATATATGTAGCAGATCTCAGGGCCAAAATTTGTTAGGAGTCAGTAACCGTAGTCAGCAATAGTAAAGAGCTCAGCTGAAGATCCCAGATGAATGAGTTGCTATCATTACTACTATAACATTGGGCTGGATGGACAAATACTCTGACAAATACAAGGCAACTTCTTTTCCCCTCCCTCTCTCTGATACACACACACACACACGGTTCTTTAGCAATATTACTAAGAGTCAGCTACCAGCTACACTTCCTGTCTGCATAATCAGATGTATACCAGGGTTTCCACTTCCAAAGTTCAAAATCATGATGCTGTTATAAAAGCTGTATTGTTTTGACAAACATTACGCTTATTATTATCAACACAATATTTTATTTATATTTGTTTACATTATTTCTTTGCCTTCTGCTTATAGCTGTTATTCAGAATTTCTCAAGAATGCATTGCCTCCTGCATAGCTGACTAATTTTCCAACTCTATAGTTTTGTCCATTCTCTCCAAGAATTCTACATTAATACAGATAAAAATACACAACCTGACCAAAGTCACATGGATCTGCCTGTTCTACAATGCACTATATACCCCTCATACCTGCATGAATCTGCAAATTGTGAGTATATTCGTTGATTCGAAAAGCACAACCTGTTTGTGAAACTGGCACCGGTCCTAAGATTCTTACAGTCAGGCCATAGTAAAAGGCTTCACAGTAGTCCTTTAGCCATTGCATGTAGACATCAGTGCTAACTCTAGAATCTCCAAAAGAGCCTGAAAATAAGAAATCCAGGAAAGGATGTTATTATGTTGCAGTTTCATCACTACAAATTTCTCTCCTCAAAGTATTTTTTAAAAAAACCATTTGATGTAAATTATTTAAAATATGCAATGTGTTTTGCAACCTGTTTCTTATTTGCATTTGGAATAGCAGATTGCGGTAGATACAATCAGTCAAACTTTCAATAATAGGGAACCAAATTGAAAAAATAATGGCTTGCAAAGACCAATTAATGAGCTGCAATAACTGCAGTTTGAATAACCTAGCCATGATCCAGACACATGTAGACACAGACTATACTTTTATCCTATGCATATTTGGTTGGGAATAAATCCCATTAAATTCAGCAGGACTTGCTCCTAACTAAACAAACATAGGGTTAAGCTTACATTTCTACTAAATTTAATTCTGAACCTGTGGTCCACTTGTCATTTTTTTAAGATCTTCTGCATAACAGTAGTGAAAATAAAATTACCAAGCCCCTTTTCCAGATGCAAGAAGCCTTCACGGGCTAGGTGAGAATGCTTCATGGATTTATTCTGGACAAATTCTGGGTTCCCCTTCTCCTATCATCAGGAATTCAATGGATGGGGTTCTTGTTATTATTCCATATCATTAGTACTAACTCACCTCTGTACAAGTCATGTTAAAAGAGCAGGAATTTGCTCTGCCATAGCAATATTCTTCAATTTGGAGTACGTGAATTTGAGTAGGACATGGAGAATAAAAACTGGGGGAGGCTAGTTTAGTTACTGATCTCACAAACACCTCTGCAGTTTTTATCACAGGAATGGTTCTACCAAATCCAATGGGAATATTCTTATCAACAACGAATAGTCTGAAATTTAGTTTATAGTCAATTATTCAACCAGGAACAAGCCCACATTACCCTTACTGCTGATTTTCAAGCTGTTTTTCAAGGAGCAATGGGGCCTTCTACAAGACATCAAAGAAAATATCTATATTTGTCCCATTACTGCCAACTCTACTTTAATGTTTGATAGTTAGGGTCAGTGTTGAGATACAATTTACTTTCCATTTACACAAGGTGATAGCAAGGGCCAACATTGAGAATTTCCTAGAATTGCCTTCAGTTACCATGACCTCACCAGGTCCATTGGACCAGACCTCTATCCTCCCTGAAAGCTTTAGTGGCTGGAGATGGTGACAGCTGTAGTCCAATACATTTGGAGGATGCCTGGTTGGGACATCTTCCCATACAAAATGTTCTAGATTTTTCCAGAATTTTTTGTGGAAGAAGGATTCTTTGAACAAGTCAAAAATTGAAGACTTGCCTAAAGTAGAAACCCTAAAAGTCACTAGGCATATTACTACATTTTTAGTAGTTGATTATATACTTTGATAGCTCAACTTCCTTACTTCATTATCATGGGTTTTGTTACCATCTGTTTGAGAGATCAAGGGAACATTACCAATGGGCTGAACATAAATCCGATTTTTCTGAGGAGATGGTGTGTTTCTGTGAGGGTCATGATAAAATTGTGCAAAATCCTGGGTAGGTTCTGGATGTGAGGAGATCCAATCCGACTCAGAATGTAGTGTGATGGGCTTAAAGAGAACACCGCCTGGTTGAAATGCTTGACTTAGCAAAAGCTTCTCTTTTGGTTCAAAATTCTCATAAAGCTTCACAAGCTTTGTGTCTTTGGAGATCAGAGCCAATTTCAGCGCCTCTTCAGAATGCTTAATTACTTTCATCTAATAATGAGGGGAGGAAAAGACAAAAAAAGTTTATGAATACTGTTTCTCACGCCAGCATCTTTTTGTTTAAAAAAAGTTCTTCTTCCATCATGTCACTAGTCACTCATTGCAAGTTCCTATTATTCCTTTTATGAACAGAATAGTAACCCAACCAACCATCTTCTGCAGTTTGCTGCTTATTCAGCAACTATCATGTCCTTCATATGCAAGGTTCAGGTTCCTCATTCCCTTCCTTTTTTCCATGCCAACCGCCATTTCACAATCAGCTTCTGCTTTTAGACAAAACCAGCAAGGGAAAACATTGCTGAAAGCTCAGTCATCACTAGTTCCATATATTATGTCATGGAGCATTCAGCCCAGTTTAAATTTTTCTTTTTCATATAAGTATTTCCTACCAAGCACAGCAAGATACACTGCCAGAACTCTTATTTTATGGACCTCAGTTTTGCATCAAAAGGGTTTTCCCAATGTAAGTAGCACATAGCTCTGAGTTGTTTTTATGTGGATGTCAATTCCCCAAGATTATCCAGTAGGTTTCCATGGCTAAACAGGGAGTCTCCCACAGCTCTAATCCAACACTCAAGCCACATTGTGCTGACTCCTTCTAAGTCCATACTAAAGAAAAAACAAACATCTTAACAAGCTCTTACATGCCCACCATGCTAATTCATTACTCTGAGATGTGTGCTTACATTAATATTGATTTTAAGGCACAATTATTTTGTTTGTACACCAGAGTAATGATGTTCATAAGTTATAAACTCCAGACAACAGAAAGATTCAAACAGCTACTTATGATCAGCAAGAAAATACATCATGCCCTCTACCAACATAGTTTTAATGCTCCCAATTTTTCAAAATAAATTCACCATGTGATGAATTTAAGGGGTGTTTTTCTTTATCAAAAGAATTGAAACTCACATTGTGTGATTGACAGGTCTTTGGACTCTGACACCTCTTGTCAAAAAGCTCCTCAAGATATACTGTTTCTCAGCCAAAACCTTGCCTGAAGTAAATGTTCAGAATGTTACATGAATGTTCTGAAGGAAAGGTGAAATGTAACAGTTTATAAATCCTATAAATATATAATACTGCCATTGCTTTCTTGCACGCACTTGAGAAAGCATACAATTACAACACTGTGGGGAGGTTGTTTTGTTGTGCTTCTTGTTGTTTTTGCTTTACACATCTCATATTGGAATGCAAGAGAATATTTCAGAAGCAAATAATGAGACTGCCCTTTATTTGTACATCCATATATATGTTGTCTGTCCTAAAAGTAATGAGAATGATTATCTGATGAAGCACAGAAAGACCAGGAAAGGAAAGCGTGGGCAAGGCAGATGGAGGCGAAACCACAGTTTGGCCTTCTTCAGTGTAGTCTGTGCCTTTGTAGCAATAGTTTATGTTAGCAAAGTGTGTAATAGTTTTTGCGTCTTGTCATGAGCGAAAATGCAGAAGAGTCTGGAGAAGCAGCTTCACGAACTGAGAACAATGTGGCTCATCATGTGAGGGCTGTTCTGACGGCTTCCCCACCCACCATATGGCTCCTTGCAATTTCTTTCTCCAAGCTCAAAACCGACCTCAAACGATATCATTTTGGGGCAGGTGAAAATGTCCAGGAAGCTGCAACAATAGTTTTGAATGGCAGAATCTCAAGATAGAATCATTGCTGTATTAATGTATTTGATCACAAAGAGCCTATTTTCAAGGGGGGAAACTGGAGTTGCACATCTGTTCAAGACAAACATTTTTTTAAATAAACCATTCCCATTATTTTTGGAACACACCACATACATCATCTTAAAATCAGCTGATAAGTTTGTGTTATATCAATTCTCATATGTTTAATCAGTTTCTGCAACATTTTATAGTAAATGAAGAATATAGCATGATGACCTAATAGTCAATAATATTTAAACACTCCTGAGAAAGTAAGACAGGTAAGAATGCAGAGAAAGTATTAGTACACAAACAGTTAGGCGGTATTATTAAAAGGCTGAGAGCTGAAGGAACAGCAATACTGAGCCCCTAATTTCTATCTTTTGTGCTTTGCGGCTACAGACTTTGTGCTTATTCAGGCCCCATCTACACTTGCCATATAATGCAGTTTTAGAATCCAGATTAACTGCATTAAACAGTGTAGATCCAACCTAGCTTTAAGTTGCAGCTCTGGAATTCAATATTGGATCTTTTTAAAAGAAGGATTTAAAGAAAGAGGTTGGGTTAAAGTTGTTTGAGGAACATCAACAAATGTACAGTTTTCAAAGTCAAGCTGCACACTCTTTTTGACATTTGAAGCAGATAAGTTTCCTTCTGGCTCTTCCCCAATCTAGACAATGAAAATACAATCTTAATTAAGTAACAACCTGCTGACACCTACATTTTTCTGCTTGAGGTGACTACCTTTTGCTGCTTAGGGCACTTGACTAATTAATGACAGGACTAGTTTTGCTGCAATTCCACAGGACAGTGATGCTTAAAGTTTTTTGACAGTTTGATGAAAGCTACATACCTCCTTCTGGGGCAAAATGCATTTAAACACAATTTAAAAAGTAACAGGAAGGAAATCAAATTTCATATACAATGAATTCCAAAGCAGATACACATCCTTAATGGCTTATGATTCTGGAGCTTCATTTGCAATTTTTTTCTTCACCAAAAATGTATACATCTGTAATAGAATGGAAGAGTTCAGAAGTAGAAAAGTGTCACAAAATTACAAGAGCAACTTTAAATGAGATTCATAACTTGGTGCTAAACAGTGGAGTACATGACTACACATGAATGACAATTTTAACATCTTACATAAAATTATATTTGAAGGTGGAATTTATAATCCTAAGCAAATCATGATTACAAACACCCCCACCTTATCCATAGATTCAATATCGATAGTTTCACTTAGCCATGACCTGACAATATCTCTCCCCCTCCCCCAATGGTTGTGAGTCTCTAGGAGCACAGCTACATTGTAAAATTAATACAGTTTGACTCTACTTTAAATGTCACAGCTGTAGACTCCTGGGAGATGTAGTTTAGTGAGGACCCGCAGAGATGGCTAATGACTCTGTAAAACTGTAACTCCCATTATTCCTCAACACTGAGCCATGGCAAAGATTTTATAGTATAACATATATTCTTCAGCATAAATGCACTTATTTGGCCTTCAAATACCCAACATTGTTACTATTATCTGCTATAGGGTATGCACACCCTTTTATGATGATGTGTGTGTATTTACTTAGCCTTCGAATAACCATCATACACAGTATACTACTAATTGTTTAAGGATGTATAAACATTTTGGGATACTCTATCTACATATCTATCTATAGTAGATTCTCAGTTCACTGGAATTCAAGTAAGCAGAAATCTCATGCAACTGGCAAGAAAATTTGAAGAAACAAAACTTTAAATAAAAATAAAATCATTTTTGTGGAAATGTTAACTTTAAGTTACCCTAATCTGCTTTTAATTACTGTATTTCAATATTAATATCAAGTCAATAAAACCAATATGACATATGGGGCCTTTTTTTAAAACCAAAGTCAAGTACTTTTACTGCAAATGGCTTCTGGTGTGAGAGAATCAGCCGTCTACAAAGACAACGCCCAGGGAATGCCCGGATGTGTTACTATCCTGTGGGGAGGCTTCTCTCATGTCATATCTGGCCCATCCTCTGTTCTATGAACTGTGCTGAGATAGATATGAGATATATTGATATACATATACACATACATACACACACGGAGTTACATTTAGAAAATGTACCAGTTCTAACTTATATACTAATTCAACTTAAGACAAACCTACAGAACCTATCTTGTTTGTAATTGGAGACTGCCTGTACATGTGTGTGTCTATCTATATCAGTGGTTCTCAACCTTCCTAATGCCGCGACCCCTTAATACAGTCCCTCATGTTGTGGTGACCCCCAACCATAACATTGTTTTTGTTGCTACTTCATAGCAGCCATTTTACTGCTGTTATAAATCATAATGTAAATATTAGATATGTATTTTCATTCACTGGACCAAACTGGGCACAAATACCCAATGCACCCACATGTAAGTGGGGTTGGGGGAGGATTGATTTTGTAATTTGGGAGTTGTGGTTGCTGGGATTTATAGTTCGCCTACAATCAAAGAGCATTCTGAACTCCACCAGCGATGGATTTGAACCTAATTTACCACACAGAACTCCCATGACCAATGGAAAACACTGGAAGGGTTTGGTGGGTATTGACCTTGAGTTTGGGAGTTGTAGTTCACCTATATCCAGAGAGCACTGTGGACTCACGCAATGGTGGATCTGGACCAAACTTGGCACAAATACTCAATATGCGCAAATGTGAACACTGGTGGAGCCTGGGGAAAATAGACCTTGACTTTTGGGAGTTGTAGTTGCTGGGATTTATAGTTTATTACAATCAAAGAGCATTCTGAACTCCACCAACGATAGAATTGGCTCAAACTTCCCACATGCAATTCCATGACCATCAGAAAATACTGTGTTTTCTGATGGTCTTTGGTGACCCCTCTGACATCCCTTCGCGACCCCCTCAGGGGTCCCGACCCCCAGGTTGAGAAACACTGATCTATATCTATACATATAGGAGCAGTGGGTTAAACCCTTGTGCTGGCAGGACTGAAGACCATCAGGTCATCGGTTTGAATCTGGGGAAGAGCGCAGATGAGCTCCCAATGTCAGCTCCAGCTCCCCATGCGGGGACATGAGGGAAACCTCCCACAGGAATGGTAAAACATCAAAACATCCGTGCGTCCCCTGGGCAACATCCTTACAGACAGCCAGTTCTCCCACACCAGAAGTGACTTGCAGTTTCTCAAGTCTTCTGACACCAAAAAAAAAAAAACCAAAACAAAAACCCACATACATATCCATGCTATGCATCATCCCAGACACCCTGAGGTTCATCTGTGGACCAGTTTTTTTAAAAAGGTTCATAACTGACAGGAAGGATTGGCATAAAAAGCACCTCAGGCCTTTTTTTTTTTTTTTCAAAGCTTGGCCTGTCGACTTATGGTAACCCCAGGCATTTCACCATGTTTTCTTAGGCAAGGAGTTTTATCTTATTTGACAGCCCTTCTCTGACAGAAATCGTGGAGGTTGGAGCCTTGAAATGGCGCCCGCGCGCCTAGCACCCCCCCCCCCCCCCCCTCCCCCGCCCGCGCGCAGCAATGGCTGCTTCTTGGAACTACAAAACTCAGCACTCACTCCTTCCCTCCGCCCTCAGTGGTCAAATCACCTCTCGCGCGCCCACCGGTCTCCCTCAACAGCCTCTGGTCTTCCTCCGCCACGCGACCAACTCGCCGCCAGCAGCGTATCCTTCCGCGCGCATGCCCCTCTCCCCGCTCACTCCTCGGCTTCTTTGGCGAGAGTAGCATGCAGACAGGCTGGCAGGAGGTCTCCAAGCATTGGCCTGTAAAGGCTGTCGCAGTTTGACCCCACTTGTGACTCATTTTATTGATTTATCGTGTCAGAAGCGAATTGAGAATACAGTTATGGTGTATAAAAAACCACAAACTTGGCATTCTACTAAATTTCCTTTGACCACACAGAGTGCATCTGGTGTTGTTATAAGGATGTCCTCCAGTGTGCATGTGGCAGGGCTCAGACGACATTGTAGTAAGTGGTCTGCTCTTCTCCACATTCGCACTCCTTTCGCACAGTCTGGTTTCAGACCGGGACATGGAACCGAGACAGTCTTGGTCGCCTTAGTGGATGATCTGCGCCGGGAGCTTGACAGGGGGAGTGTGTCCCTGTTGGTGCTGCTGGACCTCTCAGCGGCCTTCGATACCGTCGACCACGGTATCCTTCTGGGATGCCTTGCGGGAATGGGCCTGGGAGGCACTGTTTTACAGTGGCTCAGGTCCTTCCTAGAGGTCGGTCTCAGAAGGTGTTACTGGGAGACTCCTGTTCAACCCCACAACCTTTGTCTTATGGGGTTCCTCAGGGTTCAGTACTGTCTCCCATGTTGTTTAACATCTACATGAAGCCGCTGGGAGAGATCATCCGGAGTTTCGGGGTACGATGTCATCTGTACGCAGATGATGTCCAACTCTGTCACTCCTTTCCACCTGCTACTAAGGAGGCTGTTCAGGTCCTGAACCGGTGCTTGGCCACTGTAACTGTCTGGATGAGGGCGAACAAATTGAAATTGAATCCAGACAAGACAGAGGTACTCCTGGTCAGTCGCAAGGCCGAACAGGGTATAGGGTTACAGCCTGTGCTGGATGGGGTCGCACTCCCCTTGAAGGCGCAGGTTCGCAGCTTGGGTGTGATCCTGGATTCATCGCTGAGCCTGGAGCCCCAGGTCTCGGCGGTGACCAGGGGAGCATTTGCACAGCTAAGGCTCGTGCGCCAGCTGCGCCCGTACCTTGGGAAGTCTGACTTGGCCACGGTAGTCCACACTCTGGTTACATCCCGTTTAGACTACTGCAACGCTCTCTACGTGGGGTTGCCTTTGAAGACGGCCCGGAAGCTCCAGCTGGTCCAACGCGCGGCAGCCATGATACTAACAGGAGCGGGAAGCAGGGAGCATACAACCCCCTTGTTGTACCAGCTCCACTGGCTGCCAATTTGCTACCGGGCTCAATTCAAGGTGCTGGCGTTGGCCTATAAAGCCATAAACAGTTCCGGCCCAAGATACCTTTCCGACCGCATCTCGACCTACGAGCCCACCAGGACTTTGAGATCTTCCGGGGAGGCCCTGCTCTCGATCCCGCCTGCTTCACAAGCACGGCTGGCGGGGACGAGAGATAGGGCCTTCTCGGTGGTGGCTCCTCGGCTGTGGAACACCCTTCCCGTGGACATTAGACTGGCTCCTTCCTTGATGATATTCCGCAGGAATTAAAGACTTGGTTGTTCAAGAAGGCGTTTGAACAAGAAGTGCAATGATTGGTAATGACTATAGGAATGGATCAACGGAAAATGATATTGGATTGTGGTTTAGACGATGAGACAACGCTGAATGGTTTTCGTAGCAATGACAGTGTTTTGTATAATGCTTTTGGTATAATGCTTTTGTATAATGGATTGTGAATTGTTTTTATACTGTGTTCTGAATTTTGTTCTTCCTATGTTGTACACCGCTGTGAGTCACCCCTGGGCTGAGAACAGCGGTATATAAGCAAAGTAAATAAATAAATAAATAAATTTGTAGCCCCATTTTTTAAGGTTGGCTTGGCATCTCGTGGTGCCAAGTTGCCCAATCTTCTGAGTGCCCAGGAGGGAGTTTTTCATTCAGTCTCAGCCACTGACTGAAGATTGGGTTTTAGCCTGCCACTTTTGGACTCTCACTTGCTGAAGTGTTCATGTGAGTGTCTCTGTAGATCTTAGGAAAGCTGTTTCTTGATTTAAGTCGTTGGCATGCTGGCTGATACCTGAACAGAGGATGGGCTGGAGATTTCATTGTTTTGGTCCTTTTATTGCTGGCTGCTACTTTCCTGCAGATATCAGGTGGTGCAATACCAGCTAAGCACCGAGATACCTAAACTTTATTTTCCATCTTCATTGCTATGATACTTCACCTTGTTGATGGGAAGCTTCCCACTGGAGTGGAAATCATCTACTGAACAGATGGCAAGCTATTTAACCTCAGCAGACTGAAAGCCAAAACCAAGGTTACAACAACATCTATTATAGAACTCCAGTATGCTGATGACAATGTCGTCTGTGCGCATTCAGAAGACCTACAAGCCACTCTACACACCTTCGCAGAAGCATACGAGAAGCTCAGCCTGTCATTAAACATCGAGAAAACCAAAGTGCTCTTCCAGCAGTCACCAGCCAATCCCTCTCCAATGCCAGAAATACAGCTTAGTGGTGTAACATTAGAAAATGCTGACCATTTCCACTACCTTGGCAGCCACCTCTCCACAAGTCAACATTGACACTGAAATTCAGCACCGCCTGAGCTCTGCGAGTGCAGCATTTCTCCGAATGAAGCAGAGAGTGTTTGAGGACTGGGACATCCGTAGGGATACCAAGGTGCTTGTTTATAACGCTATTGTCCTCCCAACCCTGCTATATGCCTGTGAAACGTGGACTGTCTACAGGTGTCACATGCAACTCCTGGAGCGATTCCATCAGTGCTGCCTCCGGAAAATCCTGCAAATCTCTTGGGAAGACAAGCGGACAAATGTCAGCGTGTTAGAAGCAAAGAGCACCAGGATTGAAGCGATGGTCCTCCACCATCAACTCCACTGGATTGGCCACTTTGTCCGAATACCTGACAACTGTCTCCCAAAGCGGTTGCTCTACACCGAACTCATGAAAACAGAATGTTGGAGGACAGGAAAAGAGATTTAAAGATGGCCTCAAAGCCAACCTTAAAAACTCCGGCATAGACACTGAGAACTGGAAAGCCCTGGCCCTTGAGCGCTCCAGTTGGAGGTCAGCTGTGACCAGCAGTGCTGCAGAATTTGAAGAGGCACGAATGGAGGGCGAACGAGAGAAACATGCCAAGAGGAAGGCCCGTCAAGCCAACCCCGACTGGGACCGCCTTCCACCTGGAAACCAATGCCGTCACTGTGGGAGAAGATGCAGATAAAAAATAGGGTTCCACATTCACCTACGGACCCACCGCCACAACACCGAACTTGGAGGACCATCATCCTCAGTCTACGAGGGATCGCCTAAGTAAAGTAAGTACCGGCTAAACAGTATAATTTATCCAGCGGTGTTGGGTAGAGACATCTTGTGATAATGTGGCATGTCTCCTTAAGAGCTACGTCCACTGTTTTAACGTGGTGAGATATGTTCCACACTGGGCATGTGCACTCAGCAGCAGAGTAGCAAAGCGCAAGGGCAAGATGTCTTCACTGTGTCTGGTTGTGATCCCCAGGTTGTTCCAGTCAGCTTTAGTAAGATAGTTTTTCTAGCACCCACTTTTTGCATGATTTATTTAATTACTGTATTTGTATACTGCCCCTCTCAGCCTTCCAGTGACCCGAGCCGGTTTACAAGGCAAAATTCAATGCCACAAAAACACAAGTACAATTTATTTAAAAAAACACATTCTAGAAAAATTCTCTCCTGACGTTTAGAGTGCTTCAGCATTTCTGTGTTCTTAAATAATATATTGTATCCAGGTTGGTTTATCAAGTGCTTTGCTATGGCTGACTTCTCTGGTTGACTAGTCTGCAGTGTCTTTCATGTTCCTTGATTCCATGTCAGACTACACAGAGAAGCCATTGAACTCCACAAGCATGTGGACAATTTCAGCAGAAAGGAGGAAACCATGAAAATGAACAAAATCTGGCTACCAGTATTAAAAAACTCTAAAATCAGGATAGCAAAGAACAACACTCAGAAAACAGGAATTCCAGACAAGAAATAATCAGGGCCAGCTAACACACCTCCCAGAAAAAAATCCCTCAGGCAAAGCAGCCAGGCTTTGAAGCTGCAAGGCCATTCAATGCTTATCAAACTTGCCAATTGCAACATTCACACTTGCCTAAAACAGACAAGAGTTATTTCTCCCACCCTGGACATTCCACAGATATATAAACCCCACTTGCCTAGTTTCCAACACACCTCACAACTACTGAGGATGCCTACCATAGATGTGGGCAAAACTTCAAGAGAGAATATTTCTGGAACATGGCCATACTGCCTGGAAAACTCACAGCAACCCATTTCCATCAAAGTTTGGTAACGACCAAAACTGCCTTTGCTGTGAGCAAAATTATTTTCTGAAGAAAACAAGTTTCAAAACCACAAAAATATATACTCCGTATGCACAGTGAGGATGTAGATTGTTTATTTGTTGTCAGTAATTTACTTTACATAAGGCAATATTAATGGCTGGAACACCTGCAAAGTATGTACAGAGAGCAATGTACAACTAATGGAGACCTTTATCTATTAGTAAATCGAACCATTTTAAAGTAATTCCTTTAAGAAGTTCTTTAGAAATAATTTATTGCCAACACTGAACCAAGGCAAGGGGGAAATTTACAAGTAGAGGATTCTCTTAGTCTCTGGAAAAGTTATAAAAGTTATACATATAAAAAAATGTAAAGCCGCAAAACCCCCCACATTTATACAAAACTTACAAATCTTGGTTTCATTAAAAGATTGATAAGGGGCTTTTTATTACAAAATATGTATTTTAGAGAAAGGCTTTATAGAATAAAAACTCTTGACTGGTGCTCTGAGATGGGGAAGCTCTTTTAATTATGTGGCAATTACTGCTTTCAAGCACAACATAAACCTGCAAATGGCACTATTGCAATATTATGTATCCTTAAGGTCTAAATTTAGAAATATTTATCTTGTGGTACCGTCAAATAGAGAAAGGCTTATAAAAGATTACTGGTGAGCAACTGAGTAGCATATCCAAATCTAATCAGTGGCTTGAACCAAAATGGTTAAGACTGCCCTGATATCCAGGCTTCCTAAGATTACTTCCTCACATAATTTTGTAAGACAGTAAAATCTATATTGATAGAAAAGATTTAAAGAGACCATGCCCATGAAGCATCTCTGCCATCTACCAATCCCTGCCCTTACTCAAATGTCTTCTTTTGGGGATCCTTCAAGTTACTTCTTCCTACTGGAAATCTATTCACAGGCAAGCCTGGGAATAAGACATAGTCTCATTCCTGTTTTAAGATCGAGACAGTATGTATCTGGCCAAACAGGCCTGTAATTTGAAACAAGTGCACCTGAAAATACAAGATTTTCAAAATATTTCTACATAAAAATAGATGTTGATATCCATAGGGTCAATTTAGATGATTGAGCCATTCCTCTTAGCAAGACAATTATTTTTAGCTGTCTTTGCACAATTAGAAACCACCAGAACATCTTGGAATGGCAGCAAGAGGATTGTAAAATATGTCACAATATTCTCCAAGATAGTTGTCCTATAGCCTTGGAACCACCGTGATTGGGATTCATAGCAGGACAAGACAGTATCTTTTTAAATAGTGAACAATCTGTGATACTGCTTTCTTGAGATTGAGAATCTCTTTAAAGATATATGGTATCAACACCAATGTCATAATATGTAAATTAAATATGACATTTGTTTAAGCAGTTTTTCCTGCCCTTCCCTTTTCCATTTGGGATATTCTACAATTGCTTTTGATTTTGAAAAAACAGCATGTACAGCATGCATGTCGCATGCAGCATGTGCTTTACCCTGATTACACATGTAAATTATTTTATTCCCAAAGCTCATGTCCTTTTATTGCTTTCTTTCTATAACACAATGCAACATCTTACTCCGATTAGCAGTAAGCTCTGTACCCTATTACAAAACTGACTCAACCGTTATTGTTTCATAATATACAGAGTTTACATATATCTTGATTTGTTAGCTAAAACCAATAGAGAATCTGATTAAAAACAGGAACTGTCCTTATCCACATACTATTTTGTAGACAGAAGCATAGCAAGTCTAAACCCATTCTAATGTACGAATTTTAGTGGGATTCTGAAAGAATGATGGTGCAGGAGAAATAGCACACCCCTATAACATATATTCTGTTTCCCTTTATAACCTTCAAGAATCTACTGGCGACATGTATACACTTTCTAGCAAATATGGAAAAGCTTGTGAACAACTTTGTGCTGTGTACTATTCTGGCAATGGAGTGCTCCTTTTCTCTAAACAAAGGCCACTATCAGGTAAACTGGCATTTATGTTAAGGCCACTGCAAGAAAAAGAAATTAACAGGCACTTTAGGTTTAAAAGTTTTTGCTTTAACTAGCATTTACTAGCACTGAAGTAGGCCCACTGAAGAACTGAGAAAAAGTTGAGCCTATTCTATTAAAGCACATAATTTGCAAAAGCTCTTGTGTTTCCCACATCTAACATGAGGCTGAAATTTAAATTGGTTTTCAAAATAACAGACATTTTGCAGACTGACTTCCTTCCACAAATATTATGCATTTGAGAGTCCTAGCAATGTATATTTGGGCAACAACAAAAAGGAAGTTGTGCTGCTAATCTTTGATCATGTTAACCACTCACATATATAATGGCAGTAAAGTATTAAAAGAAGCATAAGTGCTAATCTCTTTGTAGCAGTCCTTGCTAAAGCATAGTATAATAGGCCCTTCTATACTGCCATATAAAATCCAGATTATCCGCTTTGAACTGGATTATATGCAAATGTAGATTCAGGTAATCCAGTTCAAAGCAGATAATGTGGATTCTTTCCTTTGATAATTTGAATTATATGGCAATGTAAGAGTAACCAGTAATGTATAGGCTTTCAACAAATTCCTGAGAAACCAAAGTACTACCAGCATTCTTAAAACTGAGATGAAAAATAGTCAAGACATCAGTTTCATTTTCGCTGAGTGATTGATTGCAAGGCTAAATTACTGAGGTGTGTAGCAATCAAGATGGAACATGGCATCCCTTTTTCATTTCATTTTTTTTTTTGCAGTATGGAATTGCTGGAACACCATTTAGTGCTTTTATTTTTAAAAACAAGTTTTGTCTTTTTTGCTAATATAATAGCCAGCACTGTGTCAACTACAGCTGTGTACTCTCTCAGTGTTGTCATATGAAGTTGCATCTGACATCTATAAACACTGTGATTGTTGAGCAGAAACAAATCTCATGCTTGGCTTCCTTGATTACCCAAACTGCAATATCTGTTCTAAGTGGGAGAAAAAAAAAATCCAAGTAGCTGTGTTCAACAATGGCTTATTCACAGAAAATGACAAGAGGCTTTCAAAAGCTAGAAGAAGCTGTGTGCTTTATGCTATTTTGGCATCAAACTATGAAAGCATAGATTTCTCAAACTGTAAGAGCTATCAATCAGCAATCAATACCAGGCGTTTATACAAAAACCATTTTGATTAAAATATTCAGTGGTAGTGGACCACAATTGTTTTTCTTTCTGGTACCATTTCTGAGCACCCCCAATGGCATGGAAGCATAAACACATTTGTAAACTTCAAGTACAGCTTAATAGTTGGGCAGAGCAGTTTGCCAGAGAGCACAGGTGGCAGCAGTTGGCCAAGCTTGGAGAGCAGTCCAAAGTTGTATCAGGTCTCTGTTATCAATTTCACATGCCAAACCACTTTAGCAAATTTCCAAAGTAAATTCTTTCAACCACATGTCTATACATTAATAGATGTTATAGAAATACATGCTTTTATCAAACTGAAAAAGATGGAAGAGGTTAAAACTTTGAGTTATCTTTAAAAAGTCTGTTAAGAAATTAAAACTGATTGAAAACAAAATTACAGTGGAAAAAGTAAAGCCCGAATTTCAAGAGAAATTGGCAATAACTTGAACAGCAGCAGCCTTTACCCACACATGATGAGGTCTAATAGGCCATTTTTTTCAACTCCTGCTGTAAACTATTAACCCAAAATCTTTTTTGCCCATTACTGTAGCATGAGCTGCTTGAGGTTGTCATGAAGGATGGTATCCTTGACATCACGAAACACAAGGCGGATGTTTTCTGTATTAATAGCAGTGGTGAAGTGGTGATATAAGGGCTTCTGCTGCTGGTCCCGGCGTTTGGTACGAAAACAATCCACCAGGAATTTTTGGACGTCTGTCAAGTTGTGGGGATCACCTTGAAATTCTGGGAAGTAGTCCTTGATGCTCACTTTTTGCACTTTTTCCTCAAGTAAGTCTGTCTTGTTTAGGAAAAGAATGATGGACACATTGCTGAAAACCCGATTGTTGACTATTGTTTCAAAAATGTTCAGAGATTCTGTAAGGCGATTTGTTTGTCGATCCTCCATAAGTACCTGGTCAAATTCACTTGATGAAACCAGGAACAATATTGAAGTGACACTGTCAAAGCATTCAAACCAACGTTTTCGCTCTGACCTTTGGCCACCTACATCAACCATCTTGAAGGGAACATTTTTAATCTGAAAATCGTACTCATGGATCCCTTTGGTAGGTCTTCGTGCCAATAGAATATCTTGCTGAGAAGGAAGATAATCCTATGAAAGAAAGAAAAATACTGGTATTAATACTATCAACTGTGCATGTTACTGAACCTTAGAATTATTGACTCAGCATGTTTAGCATATAAACAACTTGATTCTTCGTTATCTAAGCATGTTTTTAAAAACTTCAAACCAAATTTAGGCATAAAATCAAAATCAAAATAATGAGAAAGAATGCTGATCTTCTAAGTATCTTTCATTTCACTGAATTAAATATTTACAGAATGTGTGCATTGTGAAAGCAGAAAATGAAAAGAATGAGGAAAAAGGACTGTTTAGTCTCAGCTCCTGTTTTATTCATCAAACTGGCATCAAGCTTGTGACATCTAGAATAATGCTGTAAAACAGAGGATCCCCTCCCACATGGGAGATAAAACTTGTGTAAATTTTAGATATGAATTAGAAACATTTCAAAGCACTGTTTATCATTAGTGGTCCAAGTGCAAAGACAGAACTCCTCTCTCCCTGCCCCGTAGGTCTCTGAAAAATAAAATGCAGAGGTTGCTTTCAAGCTTCCAGAGCTGGGTTTGGGAGCACATGGGGCTGTGGTGGGACACCCTCTTCCAGTTCCTCTAGAACAGTGTGTCTTAACCTGTGGGCTGCGGACCACGAGGATGAAAATCTGGTCCATGAGCCTCTTTCTGCTTTATTTTATTTTATTTCTGCTCCTTTCGCACTGCCTGCCACTCCTTCCCTGTAGCTGACCATGGTATATGTTCTGTATCAGAAACTAGAGCTGATGTGGTCTATCTAATGGAATTTTCTGAATCAGCACGCTAAACCAAATCTAAAGGTGACCAAAAACTGATTTGTAACCCTTTTGGTACTAATGTTGGAGAGCGGTCCCTGGTCAAAGTGGTCCCTGGACAAAAAAAAGAATGGGAACCACTGCCTTAGAACATGCTTTTCTACTACTGAAGTTCACCATTTAATCCTTCTTTTATGTATTTTGGTTTCTTTTTAATATATGTAAGGCAGGGTGGAAGGCGTAACATAGTGAAGAAGTTACTCTTGAGAAATGGGTAATTAGGACTGTTTTGCCATGTATAAATCAAAGAAGTGTTTCAAGAACCAAAGTTCTTTAAGAGAGAATAGCAAACCCACTACTGAGTTTCCCTATCAAAACCAGTAATAAATTGTCATGTTCTCTCACATTTACTTTGCATTGAGGTAGCAGTTAACTATTAAATTTCCAAGTATTAAAAGTTCAAAGTTTTCCTTCCCCATGCAATAGTGTTTAAAAATAAATAAAGAGTAAACTTACTGGTTCTCCAAGTTTGTCCAAGTTGTCCAGGAAGTATTTTATAGATTCTCCCTGAAATTAAGGAAAAATGTATTATTTTTATTCATGAAAAATGTACTTGATTACAGCGGTTTAATATGAATTATCTTTCAAATGAAATATAGTTTATTTGTTTTAAAAAGATATAAAGAGAAGCTTGGTAAAATGAAATTCATACAAAATTCAATTGACTCAATTTTATTCCAATAAATGCAATGGGCTTCAGTCAGTGCCAAGTAGAATTTAAATTTTCTGAAAACATAATCACCATAAAAAGAAGAAAGTAGAATTTACATTAGTCAAAGTCACCGTGCACTAATCTCAGGGTGAGGAACTTCCATGTAAATGTGTCTTCTAGTGTTAGCTCTAATTGAGCAATATATTTTACCTTGCACAGATCTGAGATGTGTGTTGCAACCAAGTTATTGCACTAGAGCTTACTCCTAAGCCAGTATGTAAAAAATTGCAGCTGGATACTCAGACCACCACAACTCTTTCAAGTCATTCTTAGGAATCTTATCTGTATCAATTGACGCAGTACTGATAATCAACATAGACATACACTAGGCAGCCAGACAAGCAAACAATAATGTAGACATCAGTAGCCAGCTTTATACTATATTGTATAAATCAGTAGATGGCTAAGAATGAAGTCTGAAATAGTTTCATGCCAATTTTCAATACCATTATAGGCCTCTAGCTAAATGAAATAGCAACTCTTCAAAAGAATGCTGATACATCCAGAACCAAAACAGGGACTCCTTGGGATGCCCAGGAAAAAGATTCCACTGTCAACTAAAAAAGTGAAATTGCCTGTCATGTTCATAGTAGGTTCACAGCATGAACCAAATGACAAAAGACAGGTTTTGTGTCAAGCTTTTTTTATTCTGGAGGAGCCCTTAAAATTATTTAATTTCTCAGTGAACCAAGGCATTGTCATTATCTCTACAATTTTAAAAAGTGATTCTTTCTCACACATAACCTTTAACAGAGCCCCTAGCAATCTTTTGAAGAACCCCAGAATTCTATGGAAGCACAACTATGAAATCACTGATTTGGGCTAATAGCAAATAATACAGAACGGGGATCCAATAGACTAGAGACTTATAGCAACTTCTTTCCCCACATCTCAACATTTGCTGATCCTTCACTCCAATGGAATGACAAATAAGAAAATACTTACTAGAGAGCCTCTAATGATCCATTTAACATAAGGAAACAGTGCTAAATTGCATAATTGGAAGAAAGTTAAGAATCTGCAGAATGAAATACGACAGCTGACAGGGGCTTGCTTCTATAGAAGAGAGTATATGATCTGTGCAAGTGAAACTTCACATAATCTCTCATTTAGTACCAGCAAAACCTACATGTCTTGGACTAGTTGTACAAACTACATAGAGGAATTTCAAAACTTTCTCTACCATGCCTAAAACCACAGAACATGTCCAAATCTAGTTATTGTCTTGCATCCCAAGTCTAGTCTTTCCTTCATTTTAAGGATTTGTTTAAGAGGCGACAGTTTTAAACATTCTTACTCACCACTAAGTCACAACTGAATTTAGTGGAATTTGTTTTAGTTGATAGGCAAAGTACCGTGCTTTTAACCATTCAATGTTATAAAGTAGGCTACATATAGTGCATTTGCACCTCTGAAGCGGAAGAAATCAACCACTTAGTAATTTTCTGAGGTCACAAAGATCTCTGTGGTAAAAGAAGGAACTGAGCTGAGGTTTCTCATGACCAAGGATAGGATTAAATGTTGGATTTTCAGCCACACAGCAAACCATGTTCTACAATGTCAAAGTCTGAGCAATTCAGACAATTTTTACAAGTCCAAGGAATGAAATGCCTGGAAAGCATTTCTTTTTTAACTTTGAAAACTTTCATAAATTTCCAATACAATAACGGTTACTGTTACAACATTTCCCCAAATCATTCTACATTTTCCAAGTCATTCTACATGTACTATTTTGTTTCAAAAATCCTGTGATGCATAATACGAACAAATGTTTAAAATTACACTCTGAAGTGAGGAATCTTCTATAATAGAAAATATTTATTAATTTTGAGTTCTTTAGTTAATAAAGACTTGTCTTTCCAGCAGGCTGACACATGTTTGCACAAAAAACCTCCATTATACCTAATAGTCTCAAATATCTAAAGTTGCCTCTGAAATTAAAGCCATTTTCCACTTTCTATTTTACTACTTTTTAAAATGTTTTTGAATAGGATTTCCATAACACCTTTACAATGCTACCTGGTGCTTTGGAGCTGGGAGTCCAAAACATTTTGAAAACACCAGGTTATCTAAAAAGGGTAGAAATGCTAACAGTACCTTTGTTTCAAAATGGGGGCTGCCAAAGTAAAAAAAAAAAGTAAATCAAAAAGAAACATCACCTTCATGTATCTGTGCACCATACTTTGAGCAGCAAGAAAGATAATAGACAGGTTATCAGATATTATCAAAAAGAGACTAAAAGAAGCAATAAAGCTTGGGTACAGAAATAAACTGCTGCCACAAAAGATCAATGGCAATCAATGGATTTCAATTAAGAGAAGTTGAAAGCAATGAATGATCACTAGCCAATCACTAGCATCTTCAGTGTGGAGCTTTGCCTTAACATGGACAAACAGCACAAAGAATTCACTGGCCACATCTACAATGACTGTGTAATGCACTTCATACTGCAGCGGTCAGGCAGCAAACTCTCCCACAAAAGCATGAGAAAGAAAGCTTTTAATGTGCATCAGTGCTCCACCACTATCCTTTTCCCCAGGCTTCTCCGTCCTACTCTCTTTGGGACCAAGTTCCCTCTACTCTATTTGCAGCTGTATTTGTTTAGAAAACAAGTCCATACAGAACACTCAAATCAGAAAGCAACATTTTAAATCCAATACATAAAGTATCAATGCTCTAGACATAGCAATTATGTGAGCTTTATTTTAATTTGTATATCAAAAATGAAAGGTGTACACATATAGGACGTCAATTTTGCTACCCTGAGTCAAACATTTTTAATGCAAAATGACTTTTGTGCACTGCACAACAGGAATGGGAAGACATGGGCCTTCAAACGCTGTTGAATTGCAGCTCTCATCAGCCTTAGCCAGTGCTGTCAATGTGAAGACTGATGGGAATTGCAGTCCACCAAGATCTGGAGGGCAACATGTTCCCCATCTCAGCTGTATGATGGGACTGCAAAGAAGCCTCCACAATGTCTTTGTGACTTTGATAAAAAATTAAAATAGGGTCTCTGTCATTATTTTGGCATTGCGCCAATATTTCTGGGTACTCATGTGACATCTGCTCTTTTGCTGAATTCATCAGTGTTTTCAAAGGACAAACTCAATTACAGGCTCTATTCTTTCCAATAGAGAGATCTGAGTAAACTATGGATGTTCACTGCCAAAAACATAGATTCTTTAATAAGCAAGTATTCAATTTTCAGAGACTGCACTTAGATAGCACGTGGTTCACTCCAATGTCTTATGATCAGATGAAGAAAGTTTAAACAAATGTGTTGATACAGTTGGACAACTGTTCCTTTATGATGAATTGTGAGAATGAAAACAATTAGTCTAGATCTTTGATGACACATCTAAATCAAAATAAGGTTTCTCCTTAAATGCTGCATTCATTTACATAAGCCTAGCCTATTTCCCTTTGGGTCAGATATCTGCCAAGTTAGTCACTGAACCCAGTTTCAGTTTATCAAAAGAGAACAGCAATTACAGTATACACCGATGTATCTTTCTTGCAAAAAAAAAAAAAGGGGGGGGGGGATAAAATAATACCAAAAAACCCATAACAGTCAAAAACTCACTTGCAGCAGAATTAAATTACCTACCAATGTGTTAGTAGTGTAATTTGATTCTGTCTAACAAGAAAAGTAATTATTTCACAATTCTTTGCTACTAAACTATGGTAATATCAAATTTAAAAAAAAATCAAGACATTTCAGCATCAGATCATTAATGTATTCCAATTTAATAAGTTCGTAATCTGTGCAATTATTAGTGAAAGCATTCCTTAAGCCAGAAGGCAAAAAAGAAAGAAAAAGAAAAGCAGACAGACAGGGAAGGTAGGTAGGTAGGTAGGTGGGAGGGAGGGAAATCATGATGATAATATTTCTAATCATTTGTCCAGTTATTGCTTCTGCTTGGAAGCAAAACCATCAGAAACTACACATACTATTTTGGAGTACATGTCTGAGTACTTCTCAGATACAGTATATGTTTCATAAGGACTGCCTCAAAATACATATTATTTGCCCACAAAACATTAAATTAAGACTAAATGCCTACACCCACCTAGACCTATTACCAATGCTTGAAAATTTACACAAGCTTCTTTGTCATGTTACTTAGAAGTCATTTTATTTGTTGCAGAAAACTAGGCAAGTAGTAAAGAAACCTGAATAGCTATAATGCTCTAGAATCAACAAATTTGCCTTGTGTGAGTTATAGTCTCTGATCACAGAGGATACCAGTGTCTTCCTGCTACCTAGGAATCAGCGTGCCTCAGTTCTGCTTTATCATATCAGTGTGAGACATGTTTTATCACATTTTACATTCACCTGGTCAAAATCAATATACTCGATGGGCTATTTTAGGTTCATATTTATTTATAAAAAAATATTGCATGGGGCAAGTGGAAAATTATTTCCACACTAACATGTTGTACAATAACTTATCTCTCAGGCCTGCGTCTTTGGTACTTTCTGCAAGACAAACGTGCACTGTGTAGATGCACCTAAGATGATCAAATGGACAGCAGCAGTTACTAAAAACAGCCTTGTCACATGAAAGGAGTACGCCCTACTTCCTGGAGCAAGTAAGATGTAGTCATGGTCAGTCTTTGTGTCTTTTTCCATTCATGACTACTTATGTTCCTATCGGGAGACGCCTGAAGTTTTTACAAGTTGCCAGCTAGTTCTGCGACTCTGCAAGGTTTCCTCCTGATGATTAGTGCCGAGTTGGGGGCAAAAAAATTAAAACACAATGAATTAAAGCTAGAATGCTATCTATACCTT